CGCTCGCCCAACGAGTGGGTCTAGCGTGCCCGTGCTATGTGAGACCCCAATTCCTGTGTTGGGAACGCGCCGGGCCCGAACTGACAGGCCCACCAGGCAGGCTGAATCACGCGAAAACCCGACTCCTGTGGCGCTTGCTCGAAAAATACTTCCGCAATACTCTTAAAGCAAGGAGGGTCTTGAGTGACCGTCCCACATGAGACCCTTATTCCTGTGTTGGGAACACGCCGGGTCCGAACTGATGGGCCCACCGGGCGCGAAGCCCCGGCTCCTGAGGCGCTCGCCCCAAAAAAAAACGGGGCAAGGCCAAGCCCAACCAAAACTTGGTTGTGAACGGCGACGGGAAGTTTGTGGAACGACAGTCTGTCGGCGGGTACGAAGCGGGGCCAATGCGCGGCACCACGAGATCGATAGAGAAGCAAGCCCACATACGTGCAGAGGCGGATCAACGCGTGACAGGTAGGAGGAGCGGGAGGAGGTATAGGAGGAGGAGGAGAAGCGGGAGAAGGAGAGGGAGGAGTGGGAGGAGTGGGAGGAGTGGGAGGAGGAACAGGGGGAAGAGTAGGAGAAGCAGCGGGAGAAGGAGGAGCAAGAGGAGCGTGAGGAGCGGCAGGTGGGAGAGCGGGAGGAGAGGGAGGAGGAGCGGGAAAAGGAGCGGGAGAGGGAGGAACAGGAGGAGAAGGATCGGGAGGAGGACGAAGTTATGGTGAAGCAGCAGGAGGTCAGTCTCTCTCTTTCTCTCTCTCTGTGGCTAGCCACATGACGGGCCTTTTTTTCTTTTTTTTTTTGCAGGACATGGCTATGGCCGGATCTTTGTCACGTTGTTTGGTGGAGGAGGAGCGGGAGGAGCAGGAGAAGGAGCAGGATAGGGAGTGGGAAGAGGGGCGGGAGGAGCGGGAGGGGAAACAGGAGGGGCAGAGGAGGCGCAGGAGGAGGAGCGGGAGGAGGAGTGAGAGGAGGAACGGCATGGGAAACGAGGGGGTTAGGAGCAGGAGGAGCACGAGGGGAAACGGGAAGGGGCAGAGGAGGTGCGGGAGGAGCGGAAGGAGGAGGAGGAGGAGGAGGAGGAGGAGGAGGAGGAGGAGGAGGAAGAGGAGCGGGAGGAGGAGCAGGAGGAGCAGGAGAAGGAACGACGGGAAACGGGGAGGGGGACTTAACGAACGCACGGGAGACGGATACGAAAAGCTGAAGGAGGGAACGGAGGAGAGGGGTGGGGCGTGGGAGGAGTGGACGGGGATGCAATCTCTCTCTCTCTCTCTCTCTCTCTCTCTCTCACACACACACACACACACTCCTCTCCCCCTCCTCCACCGCCGACTCCTTGCCCTCTTCCCCTCCCCCCCTCTCTTCCCCATCGCCGCAGCGGGTCCACTTGTTTCTCTAATTTACATTTGTATGCTCATTAGGACCTGTGCAAGGGTGTTGCTGGGAATGCCACATGCCAATCCCTGACCTGCACTCCAACCCTATAGCAATACCTCTTCTATGGGGCTTGCTGCATCACTCATCAAACACTGGTCTATTGCCGGGGAGCTCTGGCTGTCCCTGACCTGTAGTTCAACAGTATACCAATAGCACGGCTCTATGGGGCTTGCTGCACAACTCACCAAACACTGATCTCTTGGTGGATAGCTCTGCCCCTCAGACTCCCCAACAATGGGCCTGGCTGCACTACGTTTGAAACTTGAGAAAAATTCAAGCGTCCTTTAAGAGTTGTCAGACTCTTGAAATGCCCGATAGCGCCGTCGTCGCTGCACTTACTGTAGACACCCCCACTCTTGAACGCCCGATAGCACTACCGGAAAGCGCCATTCTGGTTTGTCTTTCCCCCCCAAAAAATAAAAATAAAAATAAATCTGGTTTGTCCACCGAGACTACAGATCGACTCTCGAAAAAGCAGAGCTCGTGAAGGGTCCCAGCAACCACCCTTGAAAAAGAACGCCTTGCAGGCAGGCACTCCAGAAGCTTCAAGTGTTTGTTTCACTGAGCCTTCTGACACCTCTTGAAAAAATAAATCAAGAGCATGTTTCGATAGTCAGTGCGGGGATGCCTCTCTCTCAAAGTTTTTGAGGGTGAGTCTGACAGCTCTTGAATCCGTTTTCAGCATCCTGCATCAAGAGTTCATGCAGCGATGCCACACTCTTGAAACTTTCAAGCGTAGTGCAGCGAGGCCCAATTTTTCCCTCCAAAAGAAGGCAGATTAGAGAATTCGCCAGCATTGGGAGTGTACACCAGCTTCCGCGAATCTCCAACCAGCAGTTGGATAACATCACTGTTTTGGTGGATGAATCTTGCCCCCGTCTGTTGCAACTGGCCGTACAGGCCGATTTTGAATTTAGTGAATCACAAAGTTATTGAGACTGATCGAAATTTGCGAGCCCATGCGGCGGCAAGACCCAACCAACAAAATCTGCTACTCGTTAAACCTATAGTACTTCTGAGCTCGAAACACCCTGCACGCCAGAAAACAATGAACCGGCATGGGCCTCTTTTTGGCAGCTAACCCCCAAAAGTTGCGGCGTGCATGCACTGGCGTTGGAGAAAAATGGCTACAATATGTACTGGTGGTTTAATCATGTTGGGTGCTCAGCAGAGTCAGCACAGACGTTGGCCGGCACAGTCCTCTTTTTGGTTGGTGCCGCCAGCCATTTTGCCCTGGCAGTCGACCCCCCAAAATTGCGGCGTGCATGCAGCCATGTTGGAGAAAAATGGATAAGAAATTTACTGTTAGTTTAATCATGTTGGGTTCTCAGCACAAACGTCGGCACTTGGGGGGTGTAGTGCAGCAAGCTCGTATAAGTGGATGGGAGCAGCATGTCTGGTTTTGGGTTTCCAACAACCCATGAAATACATCATACCCCTGGCCCAATAAAGCTCTACGCTCTAGGTCTGTCCTGTTTGCCAGGAGTGACACAAAATGTCCGGCTGCAACCAGCAACAATCCATGAAATACAATCTTCTCATGTCACTGTGCTAGGTCCCAACTGGTTTATTATGTCCACATCAACTCAACACAGACAGAATAGAAATCCCATCACCTCAACATTTCCGCCCAACTCTTGCTCCACCTTGTTCATCCATCTACAGCTGTCAGTTGCAAACTATCTTGTTGAGCAGATCCTGCCCCAACCCTACTGGTAGTGTTTCAGGGAGACAGCGTCAGAAACATGACTTGGCCAGAAAAACCTTTTGTGACGATCCTCACACCGATGGCTCAACTCGTGCCCATACTCTCTCTCTCTCTCTCTCTCTCTCTCTCTCTCTCTCTCTCTCTCTCTCTCTCTCTCTCTCTCTCTCTCTCTCTCTCTCTCTGTGTCTTCTGCAACATACAACATTCATCACCATCGCAAAACATTCAGGCTGGGACATCATGCCAGAGGTTGGAGGAGCTGAGCCTGCTGAAGACCCAGCATGTGGCTAGCTTGAAGGTTCTTCCAGCACTTCCCACTTTTGCAGGCCCTGCCGTGCAGCACTTCCCACTCTTGCAGGCCCTACCGTCTTCACCTGAATAGAACGCCCGGTCATTATCGCTGCATCTGGACTGAAGTTGTGCCAAATATGGCTATAATGACCGGTCGTTCTATTCGGGTGAAGACGGCAGGTAATTCAGAATAATAGTCTTTCACTCGAGTCCGAGCGCAGGTCTGCATTTCAACAGTTCAGGGGCGTACGTACTGAGCTAGGCCAGTTGGTACTGGCGAGCTTTGTCTGCTCGATAAAGAATGAGAAAGGAGAAAGTGGCACATCTTCCATGCATGCAATCCTTGTTGCCATGATGCTCTCCTCAGTGCCGAGTCTCAACATATCTGATCGTGATTGCGGCCAGACCTAGATGCATTTGGCTGCAATCATGTCCAGAGTCGAGTTGAAAAAGTCCGAGTGTGAGTAGGCCCTCAGAAAGACTCAGAATCCTGCTCAAACTTTCAAGAACATTTGACTTAACTTCATGGAGAGAAAAGGTGAAGCACAAGGAACACACATCGCCAACAAGGGGGTCGAAAAAAAACAAAATGAAAAGAAAAAGAAGACAGACTAGGACCAACTCGTCAAGATGGACCGTGCTTCCATCGTCGGTAACTACAGATCATATTTTCTGCTTCACCATATAAAGTAGAAGTAGAACATATGATAAGTGACACTGCCTGGTGATGCCGCCTCAGCAAGGAAAATACTCTCCAACCCCTCCAACTAGTTATCCCGTAACTC